GCCGCAGCAGCATCCGCCCGCCCCTGCAAACTCCCACTGCGCGCCCTCAAAAAGCACGGTGGCCCTCGCTCGTCAGCCCCCCCTGCCAGCCTTTCTCTCTGCTTCCCCCTTTTTTGGGGGGGGCTGATCTGCTTGTGTAAAACAAAGTAAAATAAAAACGTCCCCGCAGCCCAGCCCAACGCGGTGCATGGAATGAGGGTCCGGAGAGAAGGGAGAGCAGGAGGGGAATCTTGGCCACTGTCATGGCCGCCGAGGCCTCCTGGGGCACAGCACCACCAGGCCATGCCACCCCCAGAACATACAAAACACCTGAAAACCGCTGAAAAAACCCACTTGAAAAAACACCTTCCCCATGCTCCCCACTGTATTTGGGCAAGTATGGCCTGTGCCCAAGGCTAGCAGCATTTGCTGCCAAGAAATGTAAAATCCACTTTTTTCCTCAGAAACCCCCGAGGTCTTGGGGAGGTGGCTCTGGTGATGGCCCCATGTTTCCCGGCAGTTTCATTTTCTCCTCATTTTCCAGCCAGCCGAATAACAATAAACGGTGTCATTTTGATATGATGTATTTATATTTACATGGTACATTTTAAAGCAATAGCTACACTGATCATACATATTAGAAACAATAAAAAAAGAAGTTAAGAACTAAAATGTACATCATACACTTGTATATATATTTTTTTTTTTTTACACAGAGGTAAAAAGGCTTATAAAAATCAATACAACAGGGTTTTAACTTTTAGTATATAGATACAATAATGATGAGGCTTCAGGCACTTTAATTTGTTAACGTGAGCAATAGCTTGGAAAAAACCCCAAAAAAACCTTTCCACAACAGAAAAAAAAAAAATTTGGTTAATGTTTTGTTACCACAGATACAAAAATAAAATCTGAATAATTTCTCTCAAATGATTGATGTCAGTATTGCAAAGCTGACTGGGAGAACGCTACACACTGTTCAGCAGCAGTGTGGAAATTAAGGAGAAATATTTACAAAACAACACCCATTTCTATCATTGTGCCCTTACACCACTGCCTTCACAAACCAAATAACACACGCAGCAAAATCTACAAGTATTACAAAAACCCAAAAGAAGAGGAAGGAAGGAGGAGGGGAAAATAAAAAAAATAATTAAAAAAAAGGTTGGGTTTTTTTTAAACTTTTATTTCCAGACATACAGAAAGGCTTGGAGTATGTCTATTTTACTTAAATAAATAGGGGCACTTCAAGACCGGACAAAAAGCTGTAAGATCTTTTTGTAGTGTTGTGCTTTATAGAGAGAAGATCTTACAGATGTTTTGTTTACATGAAACAACTTTGAGAACAGAAATAAAAGGAAAAGGTTGTTCCATTACTTTTTTTTTTTCCGAGGCTGGCTTGATGTTTACTAGACACCATTGAGAGATTTGTCAACTGCTATTAGGCACAAAATATTTATATTTCATTCAGCAAACCCAGACACATCACCCAGAGTATAACACTCCATCCCTTTTCCACTAGCATTCATTTTTTTTTTTCCCAACCGAAAAAATCCCCAGCAACTGCTACGAATTAAGCCTACCAAACTCTATAGTGTATAAGCACATTGCATACTTAATTCATGGTTGACTAAAAAGCTGTGATTAACTCTCAGAGGAACCGTTGGGACATTCCACCAAGAAAGAATGGCAAGCGTTCCTTTTACATTTATTTGGCAAATTAATTAAAAAAAAAATTCCTCTCTTTTAAGACTGATGTCAATGTGCAATAGAGGGAGGGAAAGGACATGCGCCCACTGGCAATTTACTGCAGAAAGAAATTATGGCAGGAACAGCAGTGCCAGCTTTGACAAGCCAATCCCTAGCTGCCTCAAAGTATTCAGATTGTACTATGCTAGTTAGAGCTTACTGCGCTAAATCATTTCTTTTTAATAAAAATTATTTGGCTATTCCTTGTAATATATTAGAAAAATACTCTTTTTCCAAGCTAATTACAAGCCTTGTACACAAGACAACATGACATTTTAAAAAAAAAAAAAAATTAAAAAAAATTGAAGTAATCTTATCCTGCTGTATGCACCTTATGCATCCACTTGATAAATCTGGGTGGTGAACTGGGGAGGGGAAAGCCAGGGAGATGCTTCGGTCTGGCTCCTGCAAAGACTCACATGCTTAATCCTACACACAGACTCACAGAAACGCCGGTTGCACACGCAATGATGTCAAGACATGTGTAAGCATCTGGAGGATTGGGACCACAGGTCAGGAAATGGAGGTGGTGGTTAACAACCTGGCTTTTGATTTTAAATACCTGTTTAGATTGCTAAATGTAGTTTCTACTGTGGATGCGTATGTTCTCATGCTCATGTATTATACAGAAAAACAAACAAACAAATACGATTTTCCATACAATCCACCACTTAATGCAGCATTTCCCCAGAATTGCCATAATAGTGCTTTTGACATTGCATTGTTAGTAAAATATTTTTTTTTCATTCAGCAAACCCAGACACATCACCCAGAGTATAACACTCCATCCCTTTTCCACTAGCATTCATTTTTTTTTTTCCCAACCGAAAAAATCCCCAGCAACTGCTACGAATTAAGCCTACCAAACTCTATAGTGTATAAGCACATTGCATACTTAATTCATGGTTGACTAAAAAGCTGTGATTAACTCTCAGAGGAACCGTTGGGACATTCCACCAAGAAAGAATGGCAAGCGTTCCTTTTACATTTATTTGGCAAATTAATTAAAAAAAAAATTCCTCTCTTTTAAGACTGATGTCAATGTGCAATAGAGGGAGGGAAAGGACATGCGCCCACTGGCAGCACATTGCATACTTAATTCATGGTTGACTAAAAAGCTGTGATTAACTCTCAGAGGAACCGTTGGGACATTCCACCAAGAAAGAATGGCAAGCGTTCCTTTTACATTTATTTGGCAAATTAATTAAAAAAAAAATTCCTCTCTTTTAAGACTGATGTCAATGTGCAATAGAGGGAGGGAAAGGACATGCGCCCACTGGCAATTTACTGCAGAAAGAAATGAAGGCAGGAACAGCAGTGCCAGCTTTGACAAGCCAATCCCTAGCTGCCTCAAAGTATTCAGATTGTACTATGCTAGTTAGAGCTTACTGCGCTAAATCATTTCTTTTTAATAAAAATTATTTGGCTATTCCTTGTAATATATTAGAAAAATACTCTTTTTCCAAGCTAATTACAAGCCTTGTACACAAGACAACATGACATTTTAAAAAAAAAAAAAAATTAAAAAAAATTGAAGTAATCTTATCCTGCTGTATGCACCTTATGCATCCACTTGATAAATCTGGGTGGTGAACTGGGGAGGGGAAAGCCAGGGAGATGCTTCGGTCTGGCTCCTGCAAAGACTCACATGCTTAATCCTACACACAGACTCACAGAAACGCCGGTTGCACACGCAATGATGTCAAGACATGTGTAAGCATCTGGAGGATTGGGACCACAGGTCAGGAAATGGAGGTGGTGGTTAACAACCTGGCTTTTGATTTTAAATACCTGTTTAGATTGCTAAATGTAGTTTCTACTGTGGATGCGTATGTTCTCATGCTCATGTATTATACAGAAAAACAAACAAACAAATACGATTTTCCATACAATCCACCACTTAATGCAGCATTTCCCCAGAATTGCCATAATAGTGCTTTTGACATTGCATTGTTAGTAATTCTTTGCATAACAACAATTTTCCTCATCCGGAACCTTAGTGTTTTATTCACAGATCATTACATGGCTGGCAAATAAGAAGTTCCCTTTCTTTTGGGCAGAACTCTGAAAAACACAGTTTTATTTTTCCAATGTTATTTAGGGAAAAAAAGAAAACCCTAAAATTTAAGTTTCCCTTTCAAGTAGTGGTCTGAAATGATTACAGGTAAGGAGAACTACCAGATTCTCAATGGTTATGTGACTATGGTAACTGAGCCTTGCTTTCTGTTCACAGAGCTTTATGAACAGAGAAATAATTTAAGATGTTTGCTGAAGGAAATGACAATGGACTCTAGAAGAGAAACTGCAGCTTAGATGGCTATTTTGGCTTTGGAAAACAGAACAAAAAACCCCAAAGAAAACCAGTGACAGAAATACTGTGTTGTGGTACAAGTTTGTTACTAGCACACCTTCTATACACATACAATAACTTGACGGCAAGTTAAAAGATCTTCCAAGTGAGATTTCATTCACTACACCACTCCGTTTCTAGAAATGCCAAAGCTTGCTAACACGCTGATGGTACCGCACAAGCGGAGGCAAGACGGACACTACCTGGAGATGTTCTACAATCCACCACCATTTAAAGCAGTTCTTTTCTCAAACTCATTTTAACTGAAAATAAAAATAAAATATAAACATGTACAAGACAGTCTGTTCTGATTACAGATTAATAATACAAAAGTCTATGCTGTAGGTTAGTTAGTTAGAACACTTGATGAGCAAATCAATGCAGTGTGAGCCCCAGACGGCTGAATGTAAAGTGATCCGAACTGGTGGTTTCTGGATGCTGTTGGGCACAGTGGCTGCATCAAAATAAGTGATCTCAATGCTCCAAAACCAATGTGTTCCTTGAACTACAGGAAAAATGTAACACTTCGAATATATCTGTAGTCATCCAGCAGCTTTGTGTTTTCCACCACAGCACCTGCACATGACCCCACAGTGGTAACAAGCCCGAAGCGGCAAGTAACAGCACATACATGGAGCAATGAAAGACAAGGCGATAAGGGCCATCCACCGGAGGCAAAACATTTCATCACTGGTGTCGCATGAGCAAGGATCTGTATAGTCTCCTTCTGGATCGGACATACAGTGATAGAGCATAGTGTCTGCGCACCACATACAGCTCACTCGATGGATGCAAGTCTTGACGCGGTCTGGAGCATCCTGGCATTGACCCCGTTTGTTCTCCTCGTGGTTGAACATGTCCCTGCAGTACACACACCGCGACCTCTCACCATCTTCCTTCCGCCTGGGCTTGCATTTGACAGGTTGAGTCTTTATCACAGCACCCTTGATATCTTCACCCAGGTCAAAGTCCGAGTTGTCTACGTAAGGATAAGTGTATTCGTGTTTTGAGGCCTCGCTTTTGGCAAAACGTACGTAGGAGTCCATGTCATCAGGATCAAAGTTCTTTCCTCGTGCTGGAGCATGGCGATAGTCCTCATATCCAGTCATCCAAATTTTTTCCCGAGGATTGATGCGCACTATCTCCTCATCATCATCTGGAAAGTTGACGTGCCGGTAGGATCGCGGTACTGACTGTGGAAGTAGGGATGGAGATGAAGAAAAGATAAATAAGCTCACTTTGCTATCAGCAATCACTGTCTCCCTGCTTAGTGAAAAGCCAATATTTAACAACTTTGTCTTTCCTTCTTTGTACACCCTTCACCAGGACCCATCACAGAGTTTAAGCCTTTGGCTCAGGAATGAGTAGAACTGTCACAGACCTACAATGGTTGTGTGCATGTTGTACAATGTAATGTATTGAATCAGAGCGTAACCACTTTTTTCTTTTCTTTTTTTTTTAAATAAGTGGAAGCCATTTAAAGCGAGCTGAGAAAGAAAGTGGGAGAAAGGAAGGGAGTGGGTCTTTCAGGGATGTGAGGGAAAAACCAAACACCAGTCTTAGCTATGGCAGACACAGCCCTTTAGGTGGCAACACTGGGAAGAAACCTTACTTGTTCTAGATGGTAGTGGTCAGAGCTGTAATGGTCATGAAGGTGTCCACGAGTGCAAATTCGATGTTCGCAGGATGCAGGAGAAGCCAGAGTTCGCACAGGCTGTTCCCTTTTTTGAGAGGAGTTAGAGGAGCTATCTGTAGCATTCTGTTTTAAATGGAAAGGGGGAAAAAATCGTCATATATTCAGCTGTTACTGCACAGGGTATTAAAAAAAAAGATGTTTTGCCACTCACTGACTTTGTGCACACCTGCAATATTGGCAACACCTAACAGCAGGCAGCTTCATAAGGTTTCACATAAAATACTTGAAAGAGGCAGATCTGTTGCCAGGCCGTAAAAGCCGTCGCCACACACATGGAAAAATAATATGCCATAGCCTACCCATGACATATTCACCAACACCACTCCTATTCACTTGGCATATTTGTTATACTGGGCCTTGTGTGATGTTGAGGGTTCACGCTAGAAGCTACTGCTGAAGAGCAAAGTTAAACTCCATCAAATGATGCAATCGTGTAAGTCCTGCAGGCATACTCAGACACAGCATCTGTGTGCCCAGGCTGTACCCCACTAGTTACCCGGCTACAAAAATACTGGCAATTTTGTTAACCTGCAGGTGTCCCATTAAGACAAAAACTCCTTTACACGTTCTCCAAACACTCATCAAATTCCAGTTCATCATGGGCTACTTGAATAATCAGCTTTCCTTTATAAAAACTTCAGGTTTGTTTTTTTTTTTCCTCATTTTGTCACTAATCTCTAATGTGCGATGAATGTTACTTGTGTTTTTAGACACTCCTGGCTCACGATAAGCACTTTCTTTAGGTTAATTAGCTACACTGTTACACAACAACGATCATGAAAGGGTGAACTATCACGCAATAACATGCTGTTGTCAATACCTGCAGCTTCCTAATATACATATTTCTCCTCCTGGAGAAATACACAGTGGGGTACCAGTCTTAGTCATCCTCTCTCCATAGCCCTTCCTTAGTTAAAATAGTTTCTATATAATATCTAGACATTCAGGATTTTGCCCATTAATTGTTTTCATAGATTGGTTGGGCTTTTTCATATTACCATGACTATCAGTGGACAGCTGTTAAATGCACTAACAGGTCAGGAGCAGGAAAAAGACCCTCCTTGCACAACGATCTGAGGAGCTGTAACATCGCATGTGCCTAAAATACTGGTGCTGTGAACTAAGAAAAACCTCCATCCCCCTCCAGCGAACAAGCTGTGCTGCAGCTATGATGAGTCCAAGGGAAAGGTTTCCATTTGCCCCAATAGTTTAGCTAGAGACACAACCTCAAGAGCAGAGAAAAGTTGTATCCTTAGTGGGGGAAGACTGGTTTTACATGAAAAACCTTCTCTCCTTGTCAAGAATGCACTCTCTAAATATTATTTTCCAATGAATCGTACTAGGCACGTCTCTTACTCCAAAGAATATAAGAACGCTCATTGTGGATATTTGTTTATTCTGAAAACAACGCTCTGCAAGACTCTGTCCAAAGGTGAGCACACCTTAAAACATTACAACACAAACCAGATGTTGATCCTCTTTAACTGGTATAGCACGTAAAAGCACTGAACTCCCAACTTTGTTGAAAGCAAATATACAGATTTGTTTGCAGCATGCTGGTAGATCCAGGCTGGTTTATCCAAGAGGTACAGTAAGCAGGATGAGTTTTGAGTGTCTGACCCGCCCATTAGGAACAGACCTTTAATGCATGTGTTTGTTTTGGTTGCTTTTTTTTTTTTTAAACAAGTAACCTATAAGTAGAACAACTCTTAAGATAGTTAACACCACCTCTAAAATCTAACTCCACTGATATTCAGGCTCTTTTTAAAAAGCAGTTTCATCAGCTCAGTCTTCATAACCTATTAGACAAAGGCACTTCAAAAGTCAGGCGTTTAAACCCTTCAAAAACTAATTCCTGTGCCTGTAACTTTAGGTCCTACAATATCTAGCTCATTTGGGGGACATCTGAAAAGAAAACGAGCAGCTTCTACAAGCAAGTACTTCATAATAACATTAAGCTTCCAACCTGCCTGGAAAACCTGAGAAGCGCTAGGGTTTAGTTCCAACAGCCGCCTCGCAGAAGTACCTTTTTGCAGTGCTGTATGCGGTGCAGACCCAGATGCTGAGCCGTAATTTAAGCTTCTCAGAACAACAACAGAAAGGCACACACCCCACAGTCCGGGCAGCCCGAGCCTGCAGCATGCTCTCCACGTTAAAACTCTGACTGGCACGAATCAAAAAGGAGGCAGGGCCTTAACAGGGTGCCATGCCAGCCAGCAGGTCCCTTCACCTCCACTGGAACCGTGGCTGAGCCCTGCTGGGACAAGCCTTTTGTGGATACGCTCTGACAACATCATGGGTGCTCATGGTCAAAATAACAAAGCCTGGGAAAATTACCCAACGGGAGGAGGTTGCACATACTGGCCTGCAACCCCCTCACCCTCCCTCGATGAAAATAAAAATCCCGAACTGGATATAACTGCGAGATAATCTCAGCAGGGCAGCTGTGCGCTATAACCAGCCCTCCAAGCAGTGTGCCATTTGCCGCCTCTCGGGGAAGGCAGTATTTCTGCAATAAGCAATTGGAAAAGAGGCTGCAGCGATTTTTATCTTGCCTGATTCCTATCTACCCCTGCTTTCCTCCACACCTTATTCTCCTTCAGACCCGGCAGGGCAACCCAGCCTCTCCTCCACATGTGTTGACATGGCTACAAAACCTGTTTGCAGCATACCACAGAGGCTGTGGCTCTGGCCTCTGCTTTCTCCTTATTAAAAATTGCTGCATTTCCACATTCAATGTCCTCAGATTAGAGGGGCAGTTTGCCAACACAAACACTTACTCTTAAGCACCCAGAACGGGAGAAAGCAAGCTATCTGAGACTAGGTCTCTGCTCACTCATCCGTAAAAAAGTTCACGCTGCCTCCTGGTTGGTGACGCTAAAGGAAACTGGTTGACAAATGCAGTGTCTGCAGGGTTACCTCGCTGACTGTTGGCTCAGATAACCATCATTACTTCCCAACAAGGTCCCCCATCAAAGTTTCAAACTTCTGTAGGAGAAGAGAGAAGGCTCTTGACACAGGAATAAATGGTTTGAAGACTGGGGGGGAAAAAAAGGTAGAAAATAACCCCCTCCCAAGCAGAAGGTCACTGATGAACCCCACAGGCTCCTCACCTGTGCTGGCGAGCATGTTCATCAACGATCTGAAGAGAGAGGTGAATAACAAGATGACACAGTTTTCTGATGAAACTGAAGTTGTTCAAGGGAATAAAAATGAAAGCTGACCCTGAAAACTTGCTTAAGAATTGCATAATGCTGAGAGACTGGATGTTAAAAAAAAAATAATTACCCCTAAAGTACAAAGTGACGGAAATACCTTGATCTGACATGTGCAACGATGCACTCTGAGCCCTGTGACAGTGTCAGCTTAGTGGCTCAGCAACAGATTAAAAAAAAAAGAAAACCAAAGCAAAAAAAAGCCCCAGCAGCAACAAAGACGATCGTCAAGGCACTGTATGTATCTGCTGTGCTTCCCCAATCTGCCTGTGGTTCTGCCCCCCCCCCCCCCCCCCCCCTACCAGGGTTTCTTCTCCCCGCA